GTCGTAGTCCTCCGAGCGGTAAAGTGGCTCCCCAGCACCCTCGTAAACTGTCGTAGATGCCCTACTATGTCCATTTGAATCGCCATCTGCCTCTTCCATCACGAAATATGATTCGGATTCGAGGTCCGAATTGTTACCCGAATCTTGGTCGAAAATGTCCGACTCTGAATCGTAATGCGTATCTGAATAGTAATCGGGAATGCTCTCTGGGCTCTCGTCAGTGTTGTCGGGGGTCTCTGCAGGTTGATCGTGCTCCAGCAGTGAATATTGATTTCCCAGCCATTCATCTGCTTCCAAAGGATGGATCGTTCGAAGATGTCTGTCAAAATTCGCGGAGGAGCTGTACCTCTTGCTGCAAAAAGGGCAAGACGATTTCATTGGACTCGAGAATTTGCAGTCTGCCAAGGCGGAGGCTCTTTCCTGCAGGCGGTGCAGAGTGCTCTACGAACGATTTGTCATCCAATGAGGCTCTCGCCGCCAAGCGGTTGTGCAGAGTGCTCTACAGAGTGCTCGCTGCAGAGCGCTCGCCAAGTGATTGTGAGCCTTGCGCTCGCACCTCCACCATAGCGAGGCTGATTTTGACGTCATACATCTCCAACGGAATAATGCAAACACAAACACAAGCATACAACGAGAAGAAACAACAATCACCACAATCATGCCGCCAACGATGCTCCGTTCTACCCTCTCAGCATTCGCTCTCTCTCTCTGAGCACTCGCGGATGCTATTCAGATCATGGAGAGACCATTCTCACCGCCAAATTCGATACTAATATCGGATATGCGCTCAGAGGATACACACTCTCCGACTCAGCTTCATAGCGCACAGAGCCCCGACACCAACAAGAACACAAACACCAACCCAACATAGGAATCCAATCGACACCACTGTTGGTACTACCGTCAGAGCATTCCCGAGTACGCCTAGAGCATTCATCTACGTCATTCAATTGAATCAAACCTCCAGAGTAGAATCTTCGAGTGCGCCTAGAGCATTGATCTACGTCATGTATTGGAGCAAACATTCAGCACGGCTTGGAGCACCATATGCAGCACTGGTGGGAGCGCCCGGGGGTGCTCGTACAGCACCCGAGGATGCTCGTACAGCACCCGAGGATGCTCGTATAGCACACGGGGGTGCTCTCGGAAGCATGATGAGCCCTGGAATAGCTGATTGTATTCGGTATAAGAGCACCCTTCTCCTCCTTCCAGATCGTGAGAGCTTCCTAACCATCTTCCAGCGCTACCTATCACTTCAAGCCCCTCCCTGCTATCTAAGCTTTCAAGATACCTCTTGAAAGCGCATTCAGCTCACGTTTCAAGTTTAGGCTTCAACTTGAAGTTTCAAGTTTCGTTTCAAGTTCAAGCTTTCAAGCTGCACACCTAGCGATCATATATAAGATGGTATATCCTCCTTAATCCTATTGCTTTCAGAACCATACTCATCACATATTCACTATAGCCTTCATCCTCCCCTCAGGGCACTCCAGAGCGCTCACAGAAGAAGCGAGATCGCGATCCAGACACCGACGAATCAGATAGCAAAAAACGCCGAAGGAAGGAAAGGAAGGAGAAGAAGAAGGAGAAGAAGAAGGAGAAGAAGGAGAAGAAGAAGGAGCAGAAGAAGAACGAGAAGTCCTCCCCTTCCTCGTCTCGCAAAGAGCAGAAAAGCCTCCAGCCTATCCCAGAAGAGATAGAAGAGACACCCCCGCGGCAGTCGTCGTCTTCCCGGAAGCATCCCCGAGTGGTTTCAAGCTCCCGACAGCACTCGTCACCGCCCCCTCAGCACTCGTCACCGCCCACTCGGCACTCGAGACTCTTCCCAAAAGAGTGGGAATCAGTGCAATCTGAAGCCGAGTCCGACAGCGAACGTTCCGCAGCAGGCACAGCAGCAGGCCCAGCAGGCCCAGCAACACACTCCGCAAAGCGACCAGCAGCAGGGACAGCAGCAGGCCCAGCAGCAGGCCCAAAACCCCAAGGAGGACGAGCACTTCAACGAGTCTCCAGCACTTCCCCAGAATTGGGCAGCTCGCCGCCACAACCGTCGGCCCCTGTCCGTAGAACCGTACTCCCAGTTGGTGCCCCTGCTCCAGAAGCAGTCGCCAGTGCTTCACAGAGCTCTCAATCCCGACGTCGCCGTCGGCTACCAATACCTAGTTCCCCTCCACCGGCAGAGCAGAGGCAAAGCCGCAGAGATCGTGCCCCAGAAACTCCCTCGCGTGCTCAGGTAACATACGCCAGTGCTCCAGAAGCATCATCCCCAATCTCTCAAGCCCGATACCCCGGCAGAATGACTGAGGCAAACAAAGCAAAGATGGCTTTAGGTTTGATCAACCTCCCTAAATTGTACACTAACATCCGCAACAGCCTCAAAGCGGAGATGCAGAACACCGGTTGGGTCAACAAAACCGTTTCCGGAGCAGCAGCGTTCGATGCTCTATGCCTCCATGTGTTGAACATACGCCCTCTCCGTGGTTTCCTGCCTATGTGGAACGGAGGCGATTCCGCAACCCGCAGAGCACTCGCGGACGCTTTGAAGTGGCTCATCGGTGATGTTGGGCAGAAGGAAAAGCTATCGAGGGGGCAGGGAAATCGCGAGTATAAAGAAGTTGCTGACGATAGCGATGATGATGAGGACGGTGGTCTGCCCGCCCAACGCTCTAAGAAGCGTAAACGGGACCCAGTGTCCGCAGATCTCGATAGACCTTCCATAATGGTTACGGTGGTAGACCCGGATGCTCTAGGAGCATTCTCCAGGGTTGCCCCGCCCCCTATCTATGACTGGAACCATCGACGAAATCAGAATTCGTTCATTGGAGTTCTGACCAAGATAACGTTTCCAGGGCTCTGCAATTTGATCCTGAAGCACACCCCACCCGGCAGAGCAATCAGGAGTATCTGGGGAGCACTCGATAACGTTCCACCGGCATCCAATCCTCCTGTTCGGCCGATGGAGGTGCAGATCACTGATTCGGAAGAGGTCGAGGGTTGGTTGAAGAATAGCGTTGGCAGGCCTCGGAGGATACTGGCGGTACTCCACAGAGCGGGCGCGGGTGCTAATTTGGGTGGTGCTGAAACACCGCCGCTGACACGAGCATTCCCTCATATCGAGGAAGACGATTACACCACGATCGATATTCCAGCAGAGGACTCTGATTACGAGGAGGGAAATCACCGCATAAATGCTAGAGGACTGAGGGTATATTTGCCCAGAACTGATGCCAGTAATCAAAGGCTAATCCAGACTCTTGTTAGACGTCGCGATAGACAGCAGGATGCTATCGACGACTTAGACCCCAAATACCTGAGGAAGTATCCTCTGGGTGTAGGGGTTGCTGACGCAAACTTTGCACAGGGAGTAATCTGGACGCCTGCCGGGATAGCAGCCAAGAGAGCTGCTGACGCACTCGCGGCTGCTGCTGGAGGCGGTGGTGGTGGTGGTGGTGGTGGTGGCAATCCTCCTCCGGGCGGTGGTGGTGGTGGTGGTGGTGGTGGTGGTAATCCTCCTCCGGGCGGCGGTGGTGGTGGTGGTGGTGGTGGTAATCCTCCTCCGGGCGGACCTCCTCCTCCTCCTCCTCCTCCTCCTCCTCCTCCTCCTCCTCCGGGCGGACCTCCGGGCGGTGGTGGTGGTGGTGGTGGTGGTGGACCTTCTGGAGGCGGTGGTGGAGGCGGTGGTGGTGGTGGTGGTGGAGGTGGTGGGCCAGCTGGAGGCGGTGGAGGCGGTGGTGGTGGTGATGGTGGTGGGCATCATTAGTCTCCTTTGGTATAGTCTCTCACCACTCTTCCTGCGGATTTCTCACTACTAACCTTTGAAAAGCTGTACAGATTGCTCTCTGAGCACTCGCGACTGCTACTGAGATGGAGGAGGTGCGGTACGATTTTATGTTTTGGATTTCCTTTGTCTTGCGAGCATATATGAATTGATGGGTTTTTGAATAGCAGTATGGAGTGCTCTCTGAGCACTCGCGAGTGCTACTGAGATGGAGGTGCTGTACGATTTGATGTTTTGGATTTCCTTTGTCTTGCGAGCATATATCAATGGATGTGTTTTGTCGTATTAGATGAGATTAGATGAGATTAGATGAGATTAGATTAGATTAGATTATTCCGTGTCGTAATTGCATTGCTTTTATTTCAGAGTCGAGTCAAACTCCTAGATTGCTCTCAGAGCACTCGGTATTGCTTCAGAAAGTGCAAAGTGCAGTAAAACGAGTGATTACAAATGATGCGGTTGAGCGGATCCCTGCCGTAGGAGGATTAGCCGTGCAAATTCTTCTTGATTAGCGGCGCAAATTTTCTCGCCAAGAATTGATTTCTAATCAAAGATACCGCGAGTGCTCCTAGAGCACTGAGGATATTCCTGCTAGCCATCAGAATGGCTCCCACCAAGCGCTCCTCCGGTTCAGCACCTCTTGCCCCAAAGCGCCCACGACTCCCAAGACGACCTGAAGAACATGAAGATTTACTGACTGACGAGTCTGAGATACCTTGCCGACCATTGACTCCACTGCCAGCCCGCACTCGGAGTAGTCAGTCGACAACCGCCCCAATAGCGCGTAAAGGGCTTCTGTGTTCTACCGACACATCCACTGGAAGAAGCAGCCCTAGAAGGGTAGAATTCCATCTCCCCGATGGCAATACTGACAGCGTTGAAGTGCAGGAGCATCAGGAGGATGTGCCAGAGGTGGAGGAAACCGCCGATACCAGCCACTCGGAGTATGATGACTCCCCAGAGAACGCCCAGGAGAGCTCTGAGGAGAACCTGGACGACCCGGAGGAGTCGGAAGAACCTCAAGCCTCCACTCAGCAGAGATCCCAGAGTACGGGGAAGAGGCCTCGTACAGTGCAGCCGACTACTGCCAGAGCACTGGGCAATGCTCGGAGGAGACCAACCGGAGCGGTAGCGGAGGTTATTGCTTCCTCCGACGTGTCGGTGGATGTGGTACAGGTTCGACTCCATCCCACCCATTAATGTTAAGGACAAAACGCTAACGATTTAGAGGGGAGCACGTCCGGGTGCAAAGGTAGTACGGAGAGCAGCTCCCACTTCGGCACCCAGCCAGAATGCATCCCAGAGAGCACCGCCAATACCCACACAGTCTAGGCCTTCTGAACCTGTTTATTATCATGATTACAGCTCTTCGACGCGCCATATCGATCTTTCCTCATTGCGCTCTCGATACGGGGAGTCCTCACCTACTTACCGCCCCTATCGTTCCTCCCCGCCTTTTGAGGGCGTTGGCGAGAGCTCTATGAGCAGTCCCCGGATTCCCTCAAGCCCTCAGGTATATTTACCAGAAGCGCAACCAAGAGTCTACGATATTGCACAGCTTTCGTCGTCTATTAGGGAAGGAAATGCTCCTATAGCAGAAAGCGAGGTTAGTAGTATTCCCGATAGCACTGACGACCGCTTTGAGAGCACTGTTAACATTCATGCGAGCAACCTATCTCAGAGATCCTTGTTACCTAGCTCGAGGAGTGCAAACGTTCTCTCAATGCAGGCTCAGAGGATTGAGAAGGAGTGCAGCACGCTAATCGGGGACCACACTCTTCTACATGAGCCTTTTCCACCTGCAGCGAGGCTTTCGGTACTGGTAGTGAACATGTGGGCAGCTGCCAGTCGCAGGGTGGGATGTGCGGTAGATCTGGACGAGGTCGTTATCAAACAGGTGAATGCCCTTGAAACGTTGACGAGTGCTCTGGAAGCGTAATTGACAACGATAGGTCAGAAGTCTACACTCCCGAGTCCGTTCGCACTTGATGCACGAGGTTAAAGGGCGCCTGGCGGATTCGACCATCTATGGGCTTGGAAAGCTCTCGAGTCCTGAGGCGAGGGCTGCTCAAGTAGAGTATCTTTTAAAGAATGATCGCTTCTTGAGCCCTGCGCAGCATTACGAGGTATGATCAATCCCTAGAGAGCACCCGGGGGTGCTAAGAGAGCACTCGGGTGTCAATGACCAGAGAGCACTCGGGTGTCAATGCTCGGAGAGCACCCGGACACCCGGAATGCTTGGAGAGCACTCGCGAACGCTGCTAACAGATACTAGACCTACCGTCTACGGTTTCTTGCGCCAGAGATTATCGACATATTGTACTATAAATACTTTGATGGGGTCAGGATGCGAGGGGTAAAAGACCCCGAGTTCCTAGAGCGGATTACCCCTACATTTATTTGCCTGATATCCACTGCAATTTGGCATGGCATTCGGGCATGGTCAACGGGAACATACGTGAAGCCTGACCATTTCCAGTCACAGAATGAGAGTGTTGTCAGTAAGCATCCCTGATCCCCTTACAGCTATAGCGAGTGCTTTGAGAGCAGTAACAGATGCTCCCAGAGCTATAGTGGATTCGCGCGCTGACATTGCACACGAGTAGAAACGTTCAACAGGATGAGCAACACATGGAAGGGGAGGAGTAGGCAGAATCAGGAGGCAACGTTGGAGGTGATCAAGGATAACCTCCGGGAGAAGGTATGCTATAGATGGGTGCTACAATGGCGGAGCGCTCTTCTGCATACGGAGGCTAACCTTGATAGATACGAGAGAAGAAGGGTATCACTATTGAGGTGATACCGGAAGATGGATTTAGCGAGGACGACGAAGCGTTAGCGGCGGATCTTGCGGCATTCCGGAATGCTCGGAGAGCACCCCCGAGTGCTCCAGGGGATATCTCCGACAACGGTGGCGGCCAGGAAGAGGTGGTTCAGGCTCAACTTCGGGGCATTGAAGCGGAAGAGGAAGGCGAGGAGGATGAAGATGAGGATCGCGAGGGAGGGGAGGAGGAAAAGGATCTGTAGGGCACCGGCGAGTGCTTTGGAGCGCAATGGCGAGTGCTTTGGAGAGCAGCGGCGAGTGCTTTGGAGAGATACCTATATACCTGTATTATATTCGATTGGCGATTTCAAGACGCTTGTAGTGTTAGTATTTAGTAATAGAATCACGGTTTTGGATGCTCTGCAAAGCAGTGCCTACTAAAGCAAAGAGTAGTATGCCTGGTAAAAACATGGCGCTGAAAGGTAAAATGCGGTGCGTCGGGCGCCGCTGGAGCAGTCGGGAGTGCTCCAGAAGCATTAGTGATATGCCCAGGAGTCGTCAGAGAGGTTCAGGAGCGGACAAAACGCTTCCTGAGGCGTCGCGAAAGCTCCAGGAGCGTCCAGGAGATAGGTAGTAGTCTCAGGCGAGAGAACATTCCGTCGAGAGAGCGTCAGGCGAGAGAGCATTGCGTCGGGGTAAGCGTATCACTGTCGGGGCGCGTTGGGAGGGCTAGTGCGCGCCAGGGCGCGCGAGTAGCCTAGTGCACGCCAGGGCGGAATGCTAAGCGCCAGGGAGCGCCAGGAACGCTCTGCTGCTTCTCTGGAGAGGCAGTTTGTCTACCGAGCGCCCTGGGCGCCTCGAGCGTCCAGAGCGTCTGGCGGAGGTTGCGGGTTTGCTGATGATGCGCTGGTGCAAATATCCAAAACACCAGGCTTCACAATCAAGAGAATGGAGGAACGAATGAGAGAAAGACTAATCAAAGCCGAGCCACTCCAAATTAAATACGACCCGGACAAATCCGACCTGATCTTCTTCCGGCCCACCACATCATCCACACAACAACCACGACTCCCAGTCAAAGTTAACAACACCAATATATACCCCAAGGAGAGGTTGAAATACGTAGGAGTCTGGATAGATCCGACCCTCTCCTTCCGGCCCCACATTGAAGCAGCTATCGCAAAGGGCCTCAAAGCCCTCCACCAGATTCGAAACACCGCCCGCCTGCTAGGCATAACAGTCAAAACAATTCACCACCTTATAACACAAGGCTTCCTTCCAAGTCTGTTATACGGGTCTGAGGCTTGGTGGACTAGCGCAGACCACATTATAAGATCCCTCGAACCACTATACAATGAAGCGGCCCGGGTCATCACTGGCCTACCACGATGGACCAAGAGAGCTAAACTCCTTCGAGAAGCAGGCCTACCCCCCCTAGAACACCTCCTGACATATCGCTCAAGAAAGTACGGCACCAGAATACTCTGCACCAATGCAACCCACCCCAACAACGAATCCCTGATCGAGCTCCTCCCATACAGAGAAGCAAATATCAAAGGAACAGGCTTACACCGAATCGCCTCCCTTCTACTCCCATACCAAACCCCCGGAAACGCGAGAGATAAGTGGAATCAAAACAAACTACTACGCGACCACCTGTTGGAAGAATGGAATACACAACCAATACCGAACTACCACCATCGGGGGAAATTCCGCCCCCCACCCAAGATTGCGAAACTCACCCTTACGGAAGCAAAAAAAGTTTTTCGAATCCGGTGTCAAACTACCCGAGTCGACAAACATGCAGTGTATACAGACCCCGAACCATGCCAGTGTGGTATGGAAAACTCAGCGAAACATACACTTATGGAATGTCCAGCGTGGGCCCGAATCCGCGCCCCTCTGATAGAGAAGATCCCCGGAGCGATGACCTGGGAAAACTGGATGTTTACAAACTTGAAAACGGACCTTATCTTATAATTTGCAAAAAAATCTCAACTCTCGAAATGGTACGAGTCGGCGGAGGTGGAGGCGGACCTGGAAGAGGGGATGGAAGGAAATGACTAGAGACGGGATTAGGAAGGGCAGTTTCCTTTTACCTTTTTATTTTCGGTTTTATTTTGTTTTGATGGATCCAGCACCCGAGTTTGCTGAGATATGTTATTTCTCCTTGTCGTTGGGTTTTTTGGTTGAAGTATTGTTCTGGAATTCCTTGTTTTTGTTTGTGTTCGTTCGTGTTCGCTTTTGTTCTTGTTTGTTGTCTGTTTGCGTTTGTTGCTTTCCTTTTCTTTTTCTTTTATTCGGTTCGTGTTTTAGGCGGTTGGGTCGGCGTGCGATAAGTCTTGTACTTCAAAGCAATATAAGTTTCTTCTTCTTCTTCTTCTTCTGTATTCTACCCGCTCGCCTCTGGCTCGCGGTAGGATTTCTTCCCCCCGAGATGGAGTTATACTGATTCTCGAATTGCTTCGGTCCCTGAACTTCCCTCGCTCGACACCCACCATTCTTTGCTCGTTCGGTGCCCTCACGGGATGCGTCCACCGTTCACCCCTCGCCAAACCAGCGGCTACTCTCGAAAGCCGCCTTCGCCCCTCCTTACTTTCACTCATCGCACGAGTGATCCCACACGTTGGGTACGCACACTGTCAGTAATCTCCAGTCAGCGAGAACCTACTGCCAAAGCGCTCGACAGCCCGCGAAGTTAGCGACCTTTCGGTCGCGAAACTATCGTCAAATTTTTACCCGAGGTCTCGCGACCTTACCCCTCTTTATCGGCCTTAACCAGGCCACCCATTTTTTAACCGAGGCGGCCCGCTCCCCTCACCACAACCCAACCGGTCTCCGAGACCACCCCTCAACACAATACGGTCGGCACTTTCGATTGCGACCCCCATACATACTGAGCCTCCGGCTCAACCCTTTTGCATGTCCCCTCCAGAGGACACCACTTCAAACATGACTCGGGCACAGTCTTTAGCCGTTGCTCCAGGGACCGACGACCCCACCCACTCCTTACTTGACCTACCGGTCACCACTCTTTACTCCCTCACTGTTTGACAAGCAGATGCTCGAGGACCAATACTCAACCCACCCCCCTCGCTTTCACCCCTGACGCTGTTGCGGTTGGCTTTTCCTGCCTTCGTGTGCGTGGTTTCCCAGTCCTGTTAAGGTTCGTCCACAGATATGACACCGGGAACGTTGGTAATGATATCGTTTCGATTGAACACTACGTTTAGGATTGTGATCGCTTATATAGTTGACGGAGAAGTTTGGGGTTCATTCTTACTACGGGGAGGTTTCTTTGTCATCGCTTAGATTCTGCTTACCTGTACCACTTGTTATTCGCGCCCTCTTCGTGCGCTGTTTTTCTTATCATGTACGTAGTTCTCGTAGCTGCGGTAGTTAGTTTTTGTACTTTGTTTTGCTTTCGGGTTAGTCGGTGGAGGTTGTAGTCGGGTAGTTAGGTGTGCGATAAGCTTCGGCTTCTAAGCAATATAAGTTTCTTCTTCTTCTTCTTCTGTATTCTACTTGCTCGCTAAGGCTCGCAAAGAACTCCTTGATAACAAACCTCGCTTCAAAACATTTTATTTTATTCCTCTCGGTTTACCCTGGTATACCATACCAGGTTGAGCCACTTCATCCCCGATCGTACGGTCGCGTTTTGTTGTTCCAAGCGAAAGAAACCTACGAAAACTGGCTTCTAGCGAAGAATTCTCCAGCCTTGACCTCCCGAAGGGAAGGAAAAGAAACCTAACTGAAACATCACTCTACGCCGCCAGAAGAACTGGATATTCAGTCATGTCGCAGCAAGCTTCACTCCAGTCCTTCTTTACCCAGTCTTCCCCACAAGGGACAGCCCCCCCGCAGAATAGGAACACTTAGGATCCCGACCCAACCCTATCCGGAGTTCAGGAACAGGAATTTTCCTCGATCTTTGCAACAGAATCCGACTACAACGACCCCTACCAACCGAGAATTGACTCCCTCTACCCGAGCATTGTTCCTCAGACTACCCACACCCAGACGGACCCGAACTATATTACCTGGGCCATTAGACATGCCACCAGCCGGATCTGCCTACCCTCCGACAGGATTGAGGTCCTCGAAGAGCAATCGATCACACTCCGGAGAACAGTGGATACACGGATACATCAGATCGAGGCATAGACACACATGATCACCAACATGCATTCGGCGATCCATGCCCTCCTCAGCAAACAACCACAACCGCAGCAACCGCAACAACATCAACAACCGCATCAACCACAACAACCACAACCGCAACAGAGACAGAAAACGGCCCCTCCAGCAGTTCCCCAAATAGTCCGCCAAGCAGCGCCACAGGCAGCTCCTCAGGCCCCCCCACCCGCACCTCCCCAACAAGCCCCTCCCCGTGGATGGAAGGCAGGCACCTGGGCCGCCGTAGCCTCGGCACCCGGTCCCGCCCAAGGAAATTTCCAGGTTGTCGAGAGAAGAAAGAAGTCCGCAAAGCCAAAAGCGGACCCCCTCTTCAAACCAGAGTACACCAAAATCAAAAGGGAAATCATTGTTGAAACTACTGCCCCATCCGACGTCAACCCCTCCGAGATCAGGACCCTTGTCAATGCAAGAATCCAAGACGAGTCCTGCCATTTTATCTCAGCAAGAAGAACACCCAAGGACAACTTCATCTTGGAAACAAAATTCGTTACCCCTGCAACAAAGGCAATGGAATACGCCAAAGAAATTGAGGAGGCCCTCCTCACCTTACAGGTACCAGTCGCCGTCATCCGCGCAAACTCCAAATGGTCAAAGTTGCTCCTCCATGGAATCCCCACAACGGTCGGGGAGGGCATCGAGGCGGGACAATTGGTAGCATCAGAAATCAGAAGCAACTATGGAGAGAACTTCCAACTTGCCCAGGTTCCCCGCTGGATCTCCAGAGCAGAGACTCGAATGGAGAAAACCCACTCATCAATGGTCATCGCGCTCCCAGGACAAATTACAATGGAAACACTAGGAGTTAAATTCCTATCTCTCTTCAACCGAAGCTGCCATATCGAGGCCTTCCTCCCAACCTTCCCGGATACCCAATGTGCGAAGTGCCTCGAATACGGCCACCGCCAGGAGAAATGTAAGAACAACGGGAAATGCGACCACTGCGCCGGAGATCACCTCACCAGTTTCCACCTATGCAATGAATGCCAGGGAGGATATAGATGCACCCATACCCCAATCAGATGCCTGAACTGCAAAGGAGCTCATAAGGCCTCCGACCCAGCATGCC